AAAAAAAATTTAATAAAAAAATTAAGATATGTACGTTGTGTTCTTAGACATAATGGTATTGCACATTTAATAGGCTATAGTGTAAACATAACTTTTATATGCACTAGGAAACCAAAAAAATTCATTTTACTCACTTTATTGTGATACTTGCTTTATTGTGGTAGCCTGGAACTGAACCTGCAATATCTCCGAGGTATGTCAATAATTAACTATGGCTTATATTTATTAACTGTAAGCTCAGGAGAGAAGAGATTGCATGAGAGGGATGGGGAAGGGAGTAAACATGGTAGATAGAATCAAGGACTCTAAGGTGACAATGGAGTTGAAGGGAGTTGAGTAAAGTTGTTTGAATTTGGGTATTCAGAGGGTGTATAAGCTGGAAAAAAAGGACGTGATAGTTGACCTTGCCCTTAGCAATGGGATGACCATGTATGACCATTGGAATAAATAGCTGACATAGCAAGGAGGGCTAGATCATGTATGTGAGAAGGCTTCAAGTTATTAAGAGGCCATAACATTAAAAGGATTACCTTCATGGATATTGAAATACTTAAGAATTATGCCAGAAGTAATATTTGAGAGAGAGTCAGTAATTTAGGATATAAAATCTTCAGGGGATGGAAGAAAGGAGGTAGTAGTGGTAATGATAGACTTCCATAAGGAAGTGGAATAGAAGTAGTCATTGAAACTATGGATGTTGGTAAATTTACTCAGGGATAGTGTGTGTGTGTGTGTGTGTGTGTGTGTGTGTGTGTGTGTGTGTGTGGAGAGAGAGAGAGAGAGAACAAACTAATAACTGGGGTTTGAGCTTAAGTGTAATCTTTAAAAGAGGAAACTAATAAAGGAGAAATAAAATGGGAGGACTAGCTTTTGTAAGGATAGGGCAAAAGGTCAAAGAGAAAGAAAATCCAAGTTGAATATAATGGTAAAAGAGTTATTCAATTAGTGAGTTGTAGATTCTGGATTAAATAGAGAGAGATGAGAAACCTAAAAGGTACAAATTAGTCCAAAATGGAAGGGTCAGGTGGTTAGAGGTCCCAAGGAGGTTGAAAAATAAGAGACAGTGATGTCCCAGAAGAGGGAAGAGTTAACTGTCAGATGCTACAAAGATAAGTACTGAAAAGAGTCCCTTGGATTTGACAAGTTGAAGCACTAGGGGATCGTAATGAAAGTAATCTCTATGCGGTAGGCGAGGAGAGGTGGAACTAGATTGCAGTGAATTTTGGAGCCAATAAGGAATAAGGAAGTAGACAGTATTATTTACTAATATTTGAAGAGTTAGACTATGAAAGGAAGCGTAGATAAAGTAACAGAGGAAGACACAGCTAAAGGAAGGATTTTTTAGTTGGGGGGATGAATGGAGGATAATTATATGTTCAAGGGGAAAAGAGGACATAATATGTAGTGGATAAGGGATTATTGATGTACAGTAGTCCCTGAGAAAGTAGTAACAGACAGATTTCAGAGCACAAGAAGAAAGATTAGCCTTAGATAAGAATGGCAACTCTTTTACTAAAACAAGAAAGAAAGAAAGATGCGTTTAGGTGAGTTTGTAGGATATGGAAGAATATAAGACAATGGAGAAATAATTTAAGGAGCTTTTAACCAGATTGTTTGTTCTTATTTTCTTAGAGATGTTGAAGATAAAGTCATTTAGACATTGAAGGAGGGAGGATAGAGTAAAATACTTTAAGACAATATAAATTTGAAATATTGCATGAATTCATTGCAGGAATTCATTTATTTAAAAAATACTTCTTTAGAGACCATGATATCCTGAGTACTGTCGTGGGTTCTAGGAATATAACAATTAACAAGACAAAGATCTTACCCTGAAGATGCTAACATTCTAGTAAGGGAGTGGACAACAACAAAGTGGCAAGTAGTAATAAATGCTATGAAGAAAAATAAAATATGAAAAGTGGATTGATGATTGTCATTTAAAAATATTTCATTCTTGTCTGATCTTTTATGATATGAAAAGTAAAATTATTGTTTAAAATGTTTTCTTTGGAAACCTATTTCCTTTTTATAATCTGAGGGAAGATCATCTTTGTTTTATAGAAGAAATCTGTAGTACAGAGTACTAGAACAAAGGAATGATAAGGTAGGTTTTTGTGTTAAGGAATTTGCAGAGCATAGAAAAGTGAAATCATATCTTTTTTTTTTTCTCCAGGATACATTTTGATTTTATCTTCTCTTCTTATTAAAAATTATTATGTAATTGTTCAGGCAGAAACACAATATTCTTCCCAGGTTTTACTCCTCATGCTTCATTCTGCCTATGCAGCTGCCCTATACACTCACTTATGCTTCCTATGTGCCAGAGACTTCCTAACTATAATATACAAATCAATCCATTTAATCCTCATAATAATCTGTGAATAAGGTACTGTTAATATCCCCATATTACAGATAAGGAAACAGACCAGAAAAATCACTGTAGACTTTGGATCAGACTACCTAGATTCAGATTTCAACTCTCATAGGAATAGTTCCCTTTAAGTCTCTCTGATTTTACATAAAATGATATTTATAACAACCTCTTAAGGATTATGAGAAAAAAAAGTGATACAATGCATGTAAACATTCTAGAACTATGCTTATACATATTGAACTCTCAAGTAGCTATTATTCTTTCTTGTACCTATGTTCAGATTGTTTCCATGTTTCTTCAACGTTTACTTATTTTTTGGGACAGAGAGAGACAGAGCATGAACGGGGGAGGGGCAGAGAGAGAGGGAGACACAGAATCGGAAACAGGCTCCAGGCTCTGAGCCGTCAGCCCAGAGCCCGACGCGGGGCTCGAACTCACGGACCGCGAGATCGTGACCTGGCTGAAGTCGGACGCTTAACCGACTGCGCCACCCAGGCGCCCCTGTTTCCATGTTTCTAAATGAAAGTCTGATTTTTATTGTTGGTTAATTTTCCTTCAATCATGAATCCTTCATGTTATGTTATCTTTTCTTGATATAGGAGCACTGGCCCACAGCCAAAGAAGTCTATTAGCTTTATCAGCACAGTAAAAGGGACCCAAACAAAAGGATATAGTGGTGCAAACCAAAGCAGAATGGCTCTGTCAAAAACCTTGACAATTGCACCTGAGATAAAAGCAGAAAAAATGAGTATTTCTACCCCAAGGACAGTCATACAGGTAATATTCTTTAGAATTCTGAGTTTATTTGAAAATGGCATCATAAAAAACTTGACTGAAATGTTAAAAGTAGAAAATATCCTGCTTTGAAGTAATGAACTCACTTCTAATATTGATACATTGATTTTGTTAGAGTCTTTGCCACATGACATATCTTACAGTGTAACATTGGCTGTTGGCTTCTATAATTCATTACTGGTAATAGAAACATTAGGGTGGAGTGAGGAAAGTCTACTCATGACCTTAAGAACTAGTTGATTATGGTGTTAATAATAGCTAACCTAGCTATAATATAGGTAGTAAAGCTAACATCCATTCTTCTTGGTAATGTACTCTAGCAAATATAAATTATCACAAATTGGTTATCTCATTAGAAAATGTTTAATTAAAAGTGCTTGGGTGGCTTAGTTGGTTAAGCCT